AGCAGCCAGGCTCTCACGTGCGGGCCCCCTTCCCTCCCTGATATGGCCGCAGAGGGCCATGGCGAATGTCCTTTTGGCACGTCCCAGTTCAAGAATCATATTAGCGGCTCCATGGGGTAATCCCACTCCCAGGGTTTGTGTGGGCTGGTCCCCACACACCTTCAGTCCAGCCTCCTGGGCGAGCAGCAGGGCATTCACCAGGGTCACCTCCTTCTGCGTCCCTCCAGCCAGCATGCCCGAGACCACAGCAGGGGACAGGTAGCTCCCGGCCTCCTGCAGGGAAGTCCCTGGGATGCAGAGAGGAAGCAGGACACAGATGGAGCAGCGGCAGATGGAGAGGTTAGCCCTGTACTGGGCCTACCCATCCATGCACATGGCCATGCAGGCATGCACTCCTCATCCATCCATCCTTCCATCCACCCATCCGTCCATCCATCCTCCTGACCAACAGCCTCCTTCCTATCCTTCGTCCCACCCAATCCATCTCCCACCCACGTGTGCCTTGGAGTCCCCACACCTGAGTGCGGGGCCAATCCTGCCTGGCTCACCTAGGGTGCAGACTTGCACGTTGCCGTGCACTTGCTTGGCCGTGGTCTGCAGCACTGAGCCCAGGGCCTTGGCCAGGGCAACCCAGGGTTTGTTCTGGGGCGCGAAAGCCTTGCTGAGATCCTGCCCGTTGACCTGAGTAGAAGAGTGGGGCAAGAAGTGAGACCCCCACCAAGCACATAGGGTGGCCCCCAGCACCCCTGTGTTTTACACATGGGGAAACAGAGGCACAGAGAGTTTGGCCTCCGGGCTGCAGCCTTGCTCCCTTCTCAGGGGAGGTGCAGGGGGGTGTCCCGTGCAGCGTCACCGGTGGGACTCACCGTGCCCGTCAGCCCCTTCCCCGTGGCCATGTCCACTATCTGCATGGCGATCTCCTTGCCGCAGCGGCTCTGTGCCTCCCGCGTGCTGGCGCCCAGGTGCGGGCAGCAGATGACGTTGGGGTGGTTCACCAGCTCGCGGTCCTTGGGGGGCTCCTGCCAACACAGCCCCGTGCCAGGTGCCAGCCCCTGGGGCCTGGCCTCCCCCAGGCTGGCAGCACCCAGGAGCCTGGGGCACATTTCCCTCCCTCCGCTCAGGCCAGGGAGGCCCAAAAGGGCAGTTGAGGTGGTGCAAGAGGCTCCCTGGCGGCGCCACTCACCTGCGTGAAGACGTCGAGTGCAGCGCCGCCGCACTGCCCCGAGCACAGCGCCCGCAGCAGCGCGCCCTCATCCACGATGCCGCCACGTGCGCAGTTCACCACCTGCACGCCACGGCGGCACTTGGCGAAGGTGCTGTCGTTCAGGAGCCCTGCGGCACAAGCGGGGTGAGTGGAGGCAGCGCCCGTTCCCCCCACGACCCCATGCCCGCACGCGCCGTACCCGTGGTTGAGGGCAGCAGCGGCCGAGTCCTCGGGCGCAATGATGGGGTCGTAGCCTATGGTCTGCGGCAGAGCGGGCGGTGCAGCCTGGCGCCGTGCCCATCGCTGGGCCAGGGAAGGGCCCCGGGGCCCTTACCTTCCTTGCCTTCTCCTTACCTTCATGCCGAAAGCCTGCATGCGCGTGGCCACCTCTCTGCCGATGCGGCCCAGGCCCAGCACACCCAGTGTTTTCCCATTCAGCTCCATGCCCATGTACTAGAGCACATGGCAGAAATGACTGGGGGCTCCCCACGCGGCCACCCCGCAACCCCACGGTGCCATGCCCAAGTCCTACCTTCTTACGGTCCCATTTGCCTTCCTTCATGGAGGCAGCTGCCTGCGGGATCTGCCTGCGAGGGGAAGGCCACGGTGAGGAGCGGGCACCGGGCGGGCAGCGGGACGGGCACCCACCCCATGCACTCACCTGGCCAAGCACAGGATCATGCCGCAGGTGAGCTCGGCAGCGCTGAGGCTGTTCCCAGCTGGCGTGCTAGGGGCAGAGAGCAGTGTCACTGGCACCCGGGAGCCAGTGCCTTTGGCTGGGGGTGTCCCCTGAGGATGGGGGCCCCTAGGTAGCCCACCACCTGCCCCATGCACCACGCAGCCCTAAGAACAGGGTTCCCAGCTGCTGTGTCACGGAGGGCAACGCACTTCCACAGAAATCCCCAGCACCCCCTTGGCCAAGCACGGGTGCCTTGTTGGGGGTCCTGCTCCTCCTTACTTCATCACCAGGATGCCCTTCCTGGTGGCCGCCTCCACGTCCACGTTGTCCACACCGGTGCCGGCCCTGCCCACCACCTGCAGCCTCTGCGCCGCAGCGAGCACCTCGGCCGTGACTTTGGTGGCCGAGCGGACGATGAGGCCCTCGCAGTCCTGCTGGGACAGAGGGGGCGGCTGGGCATGGGGCTCCGTGAAACCCCGCTGGGCTCTTGCATCAGACGGCACGTGCGGCGGGACCGGATGGGACGGGGGGGGGGAGCGGGGGCGCCCCGGGGGTCCCCGGGAACGC